TGTACCTCTTCATTAGACTTGCAAATGAGTAATGCCTTTTTTCAAGGGGAGAAAATAGTTAAAACATTACAGGAATTTTTGTGCCTTTTTTCCTTAGTTAGTATTGGGAAATGTTTGCAATAAAGTTTGCTTTTTGAAACTTTCACATTTTATAGTAAGTTTTGATTTACATATGAAGTCATCATCTGACAATTTGAAACAAATGTCTTTTTAAAGCATACCAGTTTTTTGTATGTATTTCTATCGCTCCAAAAAAGTTTTAACAGATTTATCTTGCTTTCTGCTATTCAAAACAGTGGTGAGTTGTCATTTCAATGGCACGTTTTAATATCTTGAATATTTTAATAATTGGATTTAATCATTTAGTAATTGCCACCTTGATCATAGATGTCATCAGTACAACCACTACCCACAAATCCATCCACAATTTTTTCCAAAGAAAAACAATAAAAAAATAAATAACAAAAAAAAACCATTTAAAAAACAACACAATAACAAAAACAGTAAGCCAGAGTTTGTACTATCAATAATACTAACACATAAAATAGAAAAAGAAAGCATGAAGTAACACAATTTTCAGATATAATTTTTATACTTCTTCTCAGACACAGTAAGATCCGAAGCAGATTCTAATTCCTATAAGCATTCTTCAAACCTACACTGACCCTGTACTTAGTTCCAGGAGGACTCAAAATTCCTATCACTTATTCCCATGATAAATGTCCATTTTATATTGAATATGTAACATCTTAAAAGTATTCTAGTGATTTCATTTGGCTTGTAAAGATCTTGGATTTTTTAAAACCTACATAATATTTTAGTGATGAAATTTTGTACTTATGAGTATTAAATTATACCAAAAAGCCATTTACTTGATATTCTTTAAATACCATAGCACAATTCAACTAAAGCTCAGATTGTAAACCATCTTAAATAACACTAATGCAGTGTGCACGTAATGAACAATATAGCTAACTTAAGTTAATTTTCATGTAACAGATAACATCTGGGGGAAATGTATATTGGTAAGTTATGCAAAACTAATTTTCTAGCGACCACATCTGTAGAAGTTATTTATTGTATGTTCACTTAACAGTCCATTATTCTGTTTAGAAATCTATTCTCTTCTTTATTAGAGCTTTTAATGTACTCACCTTGGTTCAAATGGTCTGCTCATTATCAGAAAAAATATAAATGGCATTCACATGGAACAACATGATTGTTTTTATTATATCCATTTGTGTGCAAGCACTCAAAAATGGCAAGAGAAACACATTTATTGCTTTACATTCAAAGTAATATTTAGGGGGTATTTGAAAGTCAAGCAAAACCAATCATTTGGCCAAATGGATGTATGTGTATAATCAGAAACTCCTGATTTTTAATCTCAGCATTAGGCCTCAGGCAAGTCACTTAAAGTCTTTTCCTTTGTTTCCTGATCTGAAGATTATGGGTGCTATTCTCTTAGAGAAGAAGAAAGGGTGCTTGCTAACTCAGGGTACGAAATAGGAGCATTTTTTTAATAAACATACTTGATCCTTTTTCTGTTTTTATTTTCCTAGGTTTAAGAGGTAACATATTAGACTTTTGAGGAAAAAAATATGAGACAATTACAATGCTACAGGAATGTATAAAATAGTTATAAAACTAGCTTTATTTAATTTGCCCCAACTATTCATAGACTTGAGGAAATTATAACGTTCTTTCAGAAAATCTAACTTAATAAAGCTGACCATGTCTTTCTGTTTTAAATAGATTTTATTACAGAACCAGTGATGTTGTAAAACATGAGGTTTTGTTAAAAAAAATACAAAGGCCTAATTGTATTTTTTTAAGAAAGTATTGCATCAGACGGTTTCATTTAAACATATTTGCTGGCTCTGTGCTCTCACCACAATTATTGATTCTAATTTTCCTTAAACTTGTTTTTTAAAAAGATTACCTAATGGGGGGAAAAATCACTATGATGCTTCTGGCACTAGGTTTATTTCAAACTGTATATTTGACAGTATGCCTTCTTATTATTAATGAGATGACTTTATATTTACCCCATCTGAAACTGGGACATTTCTTTCCTTTGTAGTATCTTAGTAACAAAGCCAAATGTAACTCTCTGTGAAAGAGAAAAATGTAGCTATGATCTGGTTCACTGATAGTATGCAAAACACTCTGAAGAAATTCTCACCCCCAGTTTTTGTGCAGGAATTAAATCAAATGAATACCTGTATGAGCTATGAGTTATATTCATAAAAATCAAGCAAAAGAGATTCTTGGGATAAACAGGAGTTTCACTCCACCAAAAAAAATAATAATAATGTGGGGCTGGGAGTGGTTCAAGTTCCCGAGTATGTGCCCAGTACACACACACACACACACACACACACACAACCAATGCCAAAGACCAGGAAAAGTGGATAGTTGGCAAGTAGTTCAGATGAGCCTTGTTAAGAAACGTGGACCACAGAGGTGTGAGGGACGAAACTTGCACACAAATATCTGCTTGCACTCACGTGTATGATCCGATGGAAAAAAGGGCACAAGGGGAGGCGGGGGGAATCGGCTACCACCAGGACGTGGAGGCCATCTGCTGAGAACTTCCACCAAGGGCACAGAAACAATTTGCAGAAAGAGCCTGTGTGTAGAAAAGCAGAGTTGCAAGACAAATTTGGCAAGAGCAACAAAATAAAATTCTGCTTCATTAAAAGAACTATTTTACCTTGAAGATTTGCTCATGCTGTCTTTCCCTGGGTCTACGGTAAATGCAGTAAACCCTATTGGGTTCCTTTCTCTCTGCTTTCCAATGGCTAACTCAGCACCACTTCCCCCAAATTCCTATTCCTCACCCTCTGTGAAAGTCTATACCACTCATCATCTGCCCTCGTCTCTAGATTCCCATGTGCAGCTTATTTATTTTACTGATAATGTTGCAAAGGACACTAAATTATATTTAGCTGTTTCATTTTCCTAGCTTGGTAAAATAAAGAGCAATATAAGGTGTGGGAGGATGAAAAACAAGCATGATGAAAAAAGGTACAAATAGTTTTGTGGGAAGAAGAAAATGTTTGTATGTCCCATTTAGGGGAAAAAATGACATGAATATGATGACAGAAAAGAATTGTTCTTATATATATATTTTTTTAGATTCTATTTTGATTAACATTTAGTCAACTTAAGAAGAACGATCTGGAATGATGTCACCTAACAGAATAGAGATTAAATGATTAATAGTAATAATTTCCAAGTATGGCAACATGATGACATGGATACTGAAAACTGCCCAGGACAAGAAGTTGGCACAGCAGGGTTTAACTCCCAGCCCAGGCACTAAGTGATGATTTGACCTTAAGCCAACCATTTAATCACTTGGTTTCCAAACTGTGTTGACTACAGAGTCCTAACACTTCAGTTCTTCTCTATATTTATACTAAGCAGCAGCTTCCTATAAAATCGAATTAAAGTTAATAATATGAATTCAATGCAAAATACACTGGGATGACCAAGCAATAGCTTGAGCTTTCAGGACATTCCCAAACCTATCTAAATAAGAAAACATTATTAATATTCAAACGATGAAACATTACAACCTATAAGTTATACATGACCACATGTTTAACAGGTAAGTTAACCTGAAATATTGTGGAGAAGTTAGAAAGGAATGGATGATGATTTCAGATTTTTCCAAGTCCCGTAGGATGGTAATTAGCTGGTGATTTTATGCATTTCCAGGGTTTTGTCTTTAAACATGTATGTTCAGGGTCTGTCTTTGTCAGCACATGGTGGGTGGCTTCACCTCTGGGCCTCAAAAGCAAGCTCACTGTATAAATGAGAACATCAACATACCAATGTACAGTGAGGAATGCAATAGGCATGAAGATCAAAGCACTGAGCAGGGTACATCTTTATAGATCAATGGAGATGGGAAGTCAAATTATGATCAAGATGTTGCTTGTTAAACACAGAATCAGAACAAGAGGAACTAATTAAATGATTCAGATGTTTGCTGTAATCAGTACCCTCCTCTCTTTCTCACCTTCAAGTCACAGTGAGATGGACACTGCTTAAGTTGACTTGACTCCCGTTTCTTCATTTCCAGTGTTGACCAACCATCGCCCTCCCTCAGATTTACACACTTGCTACAAAATTCTGAAGTGCTCACGGTGAGGTCTTGCCTCACCCTCTGTGTTTTTGGTTGGTTTTGCAGATCTCCTCTCTGATTCATAGTGTACTGGCTTTATGCATTAACCTTCAGAGTCTTTATTTTCCTCATCACCAAGTTCTCGGTGGCCACTTTGCCATTGCCCCCAAGAATGGCCACACTCTGCTGAGTAACATTGATCACAATTAGGCTGTTGGTGAATGTTTCAAGCACCCAAACTCTGCCAGAACTGGAGAAGATATACGGAGGATCTAAAGCACGGTCTCTACCTACAGAGAGCTTGTAGGCAACAGGAAGGGAACACTGACACATAAAACATTTAAAGATCAAGACAGTATAAAATGAAGTCCTTTATACACAAACAATGAATCATGGAACACTACATCAAAAACTAATGATGTAATGGATGGTGATTAACATAACAATAAAAAATTTTTAAAAAATGAAGTCCTAAGCCACATAGTATAGAAAGAGAATAAGACAGTGGGAAGAATAAAATGCTAATTATCAGATACAGAGATACAGAGAGCAAAAAGCGAAAGAGAACTAAGAGGGCGGTGGTGTCAAGCATTCAGAGGAAATAGCACTTAAAATATAATAGACTTGGCACTATATATATGCATATGCACACTTATATAAAATTATATGTGCATTAATTATACATAATTATATATTATCATATAATTTTAATTAATTTAATTGATAATAGGTTGTATGATATATGTTATATAATATGTGCTGTGTATTATATACTATATATTCATTACAATATAGAAAGGGAAATGAATGAATTGGCTGAAATTGTGGTTAGTCACCATGATACAGCTCTTTTCTTCCCCTCCAGCAAGTGTTAGAGGTTGTCAAGGCTTCACGTGGTCTCTTTCCGGATCCTCTAGAAGAAGGAATCTCATTTGATATTTATTCAACATTCATAGAGCCACCTCCAACATTGGATACAGAAATGAAGGTAGGTTTCCTTCTGTCTCTTAATTCACCTTGTCTCAGCATTTTATTCTCTATGGGCAGGAGGGAAAAAAACAAATGCTCTTCCATTTTCTTTCCCTCTGATTTTTCCCAGTTCAGTATAAATATTTCTTTTAGGGTTGACTTGCTCGTGGGCCAGCTGAGGATGGCTCAGCAATTTCAATCTCTCCACTTCCACTTTCCTCAAAGTAAGCACTGATTAGCAGCACCATGACTTGATCTGTCCTGATGCTCATGAATAACAGAAATGCAGGATAACATCCAATCAAAATCTTCCAGATCAACATCATTCCTTGTAGAAAAGTACCCAGGGGAAGTTTTAGGTTACATATAAATCACTGAACGTTCCAGAAGTCACCTGAGTGTTCTTTATTTTTAATATTCCAGGGATTGGATCAAGAACAAGGCCCTGAGGAATCCCAGTCAGAAGCCAACACTTCCGACGTGGATCCTTTAGTGGGTTTCACCATCAAAGATATAAAAGCAGTTCTGGATCAAGTCACAGATGATATTTTAATTGGCATTCAGGTACTCAGCCTTGATAGTGTGCTCACTTATTTTATTATTACTGGTTAATTAGCCAACCTGAGCCTTAATGTCTGTAAACACTACCCACACTCCGCCAGCAAGAGTGATGCTTATGATGGAGGACTTCAATTTCACATCTCCCCGTAATTCACAGTTGAGTCATCTGAGACTCAGTAAGATCACACGAAACAGGTTCCCCAACAGCACCTAGAGTAGGGTGTGTTGCCAGTTTCCACAATCATTCGTCATCAAAACCCAAAAAGTAAAACGGTAAAAACTTCATGCCCGTCATACTGTAAACATGGCTCATGCAAGAGTAAATGGAGTACCTTTCTAACAGCAAACACAGAAGATCAACCATAATTCTTAGGTAAGTCTTCCCACCAAATTTCTAAAGAGAGGCCTTCAAATCCTTGAACTCCCTCTCGGAGAGTTTGTTCCTTTTTATGTACCACTAATAGCTAAGCAATATATACCAAAGGCTGCCTGGAAATGGTGATGGGACAGCCATCCCGGTAGCAACTGCCACTCAGGGATCAGTCAGCTTAACTTTATGTCTAACCTTTTTTTCCTGTCAAAACAAAACAAAACAAAAACCCATCTCTACCTCAACACAAAGACTTGCATCATTTTTCAGGCAAAATGGTTAAATAAGTGAATTGCATACTTTAAGAAGATTTACAATTTCTTGTAGAAATGACCATGAATCAATAGAACAACAAACTACATGTTTAAAATATTAATGCATCTCAGGGAAAGATTTAATTGTTATCTGAACATAAGTTGATATATAAAAAGCACACTATATTAACAACTAATTTAGAAAGAGCAAAAGATTAGCTTGGCATAAGCATACCTTGTTACTTGTCTAATCATCAAACTTTAATGCACTATTTATATAACATTTAATGATTTGATACCAACAGAATCAGCCAAAGTCCTCAGCTTAATAAGGGGTGTTTAGTGTTTACCAGAAATAGTGGTAGAACACGTTTTACACAAAGCTTTATTGTTAACAATCCCATGAATGTAATAACTGGTTACTGTGTGGAAGGGCAGAGTGCAGTTGAATTAAACTGAGTTCAGAACATATCTCCTTTTTAGATTTGATAACATTTCATCTAAATATAGTTTATGTATAATCATGGCCCTGGGCTCCTTTGCCAACCGGCAGCTCTGAAATTATTGCTGAGGAACTACTAGACAGTAATAGAATTGTTTGCAGGCCCCCAAAATTGAAAACATCTTTACCAAGGCCATGTTCCATGTAGTGAGCAGTATATTTTTAACTGTTCATTGAATTTTTTTTTTTTTACTGTTAGAGTTTGCAACATTTATAGCACTACTCTATAACAGAAAGAATATGATTGCTGTATATGTGTGTTATTGTCCCTTTGGCCTAAAGCCAACCTTGCTGCGGCTGGAAGTTCATTAGCTTGTTCATCTAAATGCAATTAGGCATAGAAAGGACTTGGACCAGAGGTGGGGGATGCAGATCCTTTAGGTGCCACAATCATTTCCATTTTAAGTGGATTCATGGACATTAGTCTGGGCCAAATTACTGCCAATTTTTCAATAAAATGGCTTGGTGATGTGGATTTATACGATGTCTCAAGTTCTAGCAAACCCCTTTATGTCTTTTCTCTCAATAGTCCTGGTAAACTACATGAGAATGAGCCAGGCACTTCCCTGATAAATAAATTGAAAAATGATAGACACGGAAAGACTAAATCATTTATCCAGTGTTTCCAGGGTCAGGAACTGTTGAAAGACCCTGAATGGGAGCTGTGACCTGGATTCTCGTTCCAATCCCAGTGTTATCCGCAAAAACCACACAACCTCTAATATCACGACCAGACTACTTTGGACTTTAATACTCTGGTGGTATGGCACGATTTCAGTGTTTACCCTTGTGTCTTGGTCAAGTCCCAAGTTTAATTACTCTCTGCCTACCTAAATTTTTTCCCCTGTTTTAGATAGGTAAGTTATTTTCCCCTTCTAAACCCTGCCTTCCAATGTTGCTGGCTCTTAAAACTACAGCATCCCTGTTCAAAGGTAGCCACATGTCAGTGGTCAGTGTAGGAACACGCTGACTTGCTGTAGGACCATTTAATGAATTAGTTTTTGCAAGATGTTTTCAATTTTCCAATAGTTTTTTTTTTCTCCTTTATTTAAGAGCCATGCTGTTATTATAATTTTTGGAGGAAAAGGCAGTAGAGAATTCATGTTTTGAATACAGTTTTTAGAGCTCCTTCTCCAGTGTGGTTTCAGGCATTTTTCCCTTTCTGTAATTCAGAAATTTCAGAGAATGTAGTGTGAATCTTTAAATTTTTTGTGTTAATCCACTTACTTTCCCATTGACGAACTTTATAGTTCTAGAGATTTATTAAGAATGAAGTTATCTTGGCCCTGAGATATTAATTAAAATTATACTGAATAGAGCAAACATTTTAAGCTTATATAGTTTAGGTATTTTAATTTTAAAGATACATTCAAAATGAAATTATTTTGGCCCTGAGTTGTATAATAAAATTATACCCAATGGAGCAAACTTTAATATATTTAAAGAATTACGTTTCAGAAAAATATGAATACTAACACTACATTCTTACATTAAATGCTGGCTGTTGGCCCTAAGCAACAGGGTAAAATAATGTAAAAACCTTGAGGGAAGTTTGCCATCTTAGGACTATAGGTATTTTTAGGTCAACTTGAATTTCCAGGTTAGAAAAGCTGAGTGGGAGAATACCTCAAGGTAGTGGTCAGTGAGAGGCTATTGAACCCAGGTCATGGGTTTTCCATTCTTCCCTTAAAGGCAATAGAAACTTTTCCTATGCTAGTGGTTGGTGGGATAGCTAATCTGCTCAGCAGTGTTCCGAGGAATAACAAGGAGACATGGTAGACTAATGACAACCTCGTTCTTGTCCAGAGCAGGAGGCTTTTCGTCCAGGTGCTGCTGGTTGGGTCTGAACCGAAGTACTGATCACCATAGGCTAGAGATCTGAAATGTAGCTCTCCTGTCAGCACACAACGCTATTCGGCCTGCACCTTACCCTCACGAACCTTCTCCCACAAGCCCACACCTGTGTCGATGAATTTTGTCTCAGTGAAATACCAGAAAGGCCTCCAAGTTAATGTGCAAACACTGGTGACACCATGAAACAGAAGCTGGTAGATAATAGTAGCTGCGTCCTTAGTTGAAAGAAAGGAAATTATTAGTGGACATTGAACACATTAATTGAACGTGGGAAGAGTTAGCTGTTTAGTTAGAGTGGTGCTTCTCAATTCTTTGGAATTGTGACAAGATTATTTCTTCAAACCGTTTCAATTCCTCTATGGTCTAATAGTTTGCACGCCAGAAAGAAGCAAGAGTAACGTATTTTAAAAATCTTTCACAAGGCTGTATTACTGAAATATAACATTGGTGAATATATCAGAAAATTAAGAGTTGGAATTATGAATTTAAAAGTTAGCATATAATGTTAACATACTTAATTTTTAACTACTTAATTTTTCAGATAAGAACTAATCCCCAAAGTGGCTCAGGGACTTGTCCAAAGCTACATAACTAAATTAATCCCTATGTCTCCGTCTCCTAGACCAATGTTTTTTCCACCTCTACTAAAACCATGACCAAGGGGATTAGTGATTCCTGAAAAATGACAGAGTTCCTTTGTAACCTGGAGGACGATGTTCATTCTTCCTTGCCTCCTCCACCCAACCACCAAGAAAGGAAAAATGAAAAAAATGAGAAGCCAGAGGCCAGAGTTTCATCTAGGGCTTGATAAAACTTGAGCCAGGGGCGCCTGGGTGACTCAGTTGGTTAAGCGTCGTATCCTTGATTTCAGCTCAGGTTAGGATCTTGGGGTGGTGAGATGGAGCCCCATGTCAGGTCCAGCAGGGAGTCTGCTTGAGATTCTCTCCCTCTCCCTCTGCCCCACCTCACGCATGCGTGCTCTCTCTCTCTAAAATAAATAAATCTTTAAAAAACAACAATGAAAAAAAACTTGAATCAAAAAGATGGGTACTCACATAAGGATCCAGAATTGTTGACACCAGTGTGATCTTTTCAGAAATATTGATTCTTACCATGAAGGTGAAACAAAATCTCATCAGATAAGGTAACCAGAGTGTACACTTCAAAACTATCTATTACAGTTACACTCATAAATAAATAAATAAGAATGAAAATTTATATGTAGCCCAAAACAGTATTTGAGTTTTTAAATTTATTCTGTATAAATTGAAATAACAGAAGTTTCTCAAAATACAGTTACCCCGAAGACATCAAATTATGTTATAGACGTTAACATTCTAAACTTCAAATTGCTTATTAATAGTTATGTGTATAAACTACTCCTCATACACTCATAAACGTTTTTTAAATCACCTAAACAAAACACCAGTTTTGCCACATCGCTCACCACTGGCTTCTCTATGCATAATTTTATTACCCATCATGAAAAAAAGGAAGACATTTCCGGGACTACTCATGTTCAGATAACGTGGAAGGATTTCTGGAATTTTGCAGGTAGCAATGTCAGCCCAGAGAATATCACTGCCAGAGGCTAAATGCTATCACAGCTGCGGCAAACACTAAAACCTGTCAGCAATCACGTACTTTTTTTCTACCCAAACTATACCGCAAAGTGGCATAATTCCAAGAGTTATAATGTCTGATGAATATTCTTAATTATGAGAATTGTTTTAATTGTGAGATTATTTGTGTTGTGATTTCACAACAGAAGTTTTTTGAGATCCCGTTTAGAATGTATTTACACAGGAGACAAAAACATCATTGCAAAGGGGTGGGGGGACACACAACACCGCACTAACTGAGCCCAGAGCAGTTATTCTGATTCGGTGCTTATTGGTAAAGTCCGTCTGAAAATACAGATAAATTATCCTATCTTCCAACACAAGGCTATGTGAAAAATGGCTGTCCAAATACCACTTCCTGTTCATAGCAGCCATGCTATACATCGGGAATGTGCAGAGAAATATGATAAAGTGTTATCACATCACTACAGGCTGAAACACGGCTCTGTCTGCAAAACAGGAAGGTGTGTGAGGGATAATGTCTGTCTTTAGGCACTATAGTATGTCAAAACCACAAAGACAATGTGCAGCAAAAGATAGCTCCATCATAACCACTTTTTTATGATTGTCTTCACAGACCGCGATAAACGAAAAGCTGCAAATACAGGAAGAGGCCTTTAATGCACGAATAGAAAAATTGAAAAAGGCCTGAGGACTCAGTACAAGGAGAGTGATGCTAAACTTCACAGAACCAAACACAACCAGCCAGAATAGTAGACTCTCCAGAGCAGCATATCTCCTTCATTTCGTTGGGAGAGGAAAACCAAGCCTCACATTTTATTATCCTAACTAATTAGAAAAGTATTGGCCCCCATTTTGCTATCTCCTGTCCCGTAACAGCCTCCAAATTTATGGCACTAAGTGTAATAAGAACATTTTGTACACAAGAGTTTGGAGAATTATATATAAAAATACAATTACTTTTACGATACCCCTTTGACATTTTGACTAATAAATGCTATTCATCTTCAGGGAGAGTGAAGCCAACATTTTTAAATAAGGAAAAATAATAATAATTTTATCCATATTGACCCAGTGAGCTGCCATATTACTGGAGCCCTGTGAACAGATACCACACTGCCAAGGATAAAACTTGCTAACAATAGCAATTAAAATGCATACACTATGGTTCCCCCCCCCCCTTAAATCACTTGGTTTTCTTATTTAAATGTTTCAGTGTGAAACTAATTTTCTGAAATTATATAATGCAGTTTGAAGCACTTTAATTTATTCTGTACTGCATTTGTTATTTCTAATCTTGTTACTCTCCCAGGAGAATACATGACCTATATAAAAAGAAGCAATGTATAAATGGTTATTAAAGACCAACCTATATATAGATTGTAAAAATCTTAAGTACAAATCAAACTCACAGAGCTCTTCAAATTAACCATTATATTGCAGTAGAATGATTGAAAACATCTCAAGCCTTTAAATACCTTTATTAAAATATGATTTTAGAAGAAAAATATCTATTTGCCAACTGATTGTTTCAGGTTGGATAAATTAAATTAATTACTAGCTAAGTCCTTTCCAAATTTCTTAACTTCAGAGTATTTGAGAATGGAGAGCATTACTAGGAAGGGGAGAGTTCCTTCCAGAAGTTTCCAGTTTAGGAGTGCCTGAGTGGCTCAGTCGGTTAAGCGTCTGCCTTCGGCTCAGGTCATGATCTCAGAGTCCTGAGATGGAGTCCCACATCAGGCTCCCTTCTTAGACTGCTTCTCCCTCACCTTCTGCCTGCTGTTCCCCCTGCTTATACTCTCTCTCTCTCTCTTTATCTCTCTGATAAATAAATAAATAAAATCCTTTTCTTTTTAATTTGAGTTGATAAAGGAATATACACACTCAGTTAAAGACAACAACAAAGTGTAGACAATGAAAAATAAATTTCACCGAAGCTGGGTACCCCCATTTCTCTCCCCATGAGGCAACCATGGCTTCCAGTAAATTCTTTTTTTTTAAGATTTTATTTATTTATTTGACAGAGAGAGAAAGAGAGCATAAGAGGGGGAGCTGCAGAGGGAGAGGGAGAAGCAGACTCCCCACTGAGCAGGGACCCCAATGCAGGGCTCGATCCCAGGACCCTAGGATCATGACCTGAGCTGAAGGCAGCCATTCAACTGAGTGAGTCACCCAGGCACCCCCCAGTAAATTCTTGGAGAAGTATTTTTTATCCATTTAAATAATTGGATGCTTGTATAGAGTGATCTTTTTATTTTTAACATAATTTGCATTGTTCTTTACATTGCTCCTTTCATCAAATATTTTGGAGATAATTCCCTATCAATGCATTTTAACGACCATACAGTATTTCATTTTATCAATTCCATAACTTTTTTAACTAGTCCTATTGATGAACTTTTTATTGCTTCCAGTAATTTACTATCACAACGCTACATTGCCCTTTTTATGAACATGTATGATTATACCTGTAGGATGAATTCCTAGGAAGGGAAATTTCTAGGTCAAATTTAGTGCCTTTCAAAGATATTTCACCAACAGTGAAATGAGAATACCTATCTCTCTTTACATTGTTACCAACAAGCACTGGCCAACTTTTTATCTTTGGTATTCTGATAAGAAGAACATAATGTCACACTGTTGTGTTAATTTGCTTTTATCTTCTTACTCCACACAGATTGAGCAATGTTTATATGTTTATAAACAAATGCGTGTGTGTGTGTGTGTGTGTGTGTGTGTGTGTGGTTAATCCTCCTAATAACCTTAAGGCAGAGAAAGATAGGTATTATTAGCCTCATGTATGATTGTACCTGTTATGGAGCCTGAAGCTTAGAGAAATTATTAACTTGAACCAAGTTGCACAATTAGTAATTGATGGATCAGGGCTTTAAACCCAGGTCTGACCTATTTTATAGATGAGGAAACTGGAACACAGAAAAATTTTAGGTACTTTTCCCATGATCGCACAGCCAGTAAGTGGTAGAAACAGGTTTTGAACTGAGGTATCTATGATCATAAAACCCACATTCTTCACCTTTATCTTCACTGAGCTATCTCATTGTCAATATGAAACAAAGTGAAAACTGGTCTTTCTTTTTTGTTATTGGTTATAATAAAGGAACACACTATTGTTAGCATATTAAGTATTCAGAAAAGTTATGCAAGAAAGGAAAGTATAACTCTGCTCCTTTCATTCATTCATTTATTCATTATCCAGTATATAGCATTGAGTACCTACTATGTACCAGGGCACTGAGTAGGGAGCCAAACAGACATGGTCTCTGTCCTAATGATCTAGTAGGGGAAATAGTTAATACTAACTGTGATAAGGACAAGCTTTGAGGAATTATGAGAGTATTGAACAAAGAAGTCTGGGAGGTCACGACATGTCCCACTGGTTTTGACATTTGGGCTAGGAACCGAGGGGTACCTAGAATTAACTAGACAGAAGAAGGTGAAGGAAGAGGAAATTCAGACAGTGCAAAGTCCCTGGGACACAAGGAGAGGCTGAACAATTTAGACACAGTCAAAGCTTTCGCAGGGTCCCATAGACCACATTACAGAATTTCATTTTTAAGCTAATAGCAATGGAAACTTGTTGATAAATTTTAAATAGCAATTGACATCAGATTCATATTTTTTAAAATGTCATCTCCCTGGTGCTAGGCCTTCTATCCATGGAGACAAGGAAAATAGTATTTTCATAAAAGGGTTCCTACTGCTAATGATGCTAAGCTCGACTTCTTAGCAATTCCTACGAGTGAGAGAAATAAAGAAAAATTTTGACTTTTTGAAGTCACAAGGTTCACCTACTCGAAGCAGTCTTTGACACAGAGGCAGCCTTCTGAAGAGCCAATTAAAAACCAATACCAACCTATTACTTAGACAAGCAGCAATCTTTCTCTTGCATCCACAGTAAGATATCATTCTTCCATCTGCAGGAATAATTTGGGGCACTTTTTTCCTCACCTCCATGATAAGTTTCAAAGGGAAAATATATTCATTATGTTATGAACAAGCCACAGACTGCCACAATTTCAGGTATTTGTAGGCACTGTTGAGCCTAAATATAGCTGTGGAGTCATTTTTCCAAAATCCGAATATAAAGCCCCTATTTCTATCCTCCATTTGATTGGAACCATTCAACCATCCTGGTAGATAATAAGTTTGCATGTTCTTAGATTGCATTTCATTATGCTTCAGTTGCCCTAGAGAATAAACGTGCTCCTTTTCCCAACAATTGTAGAGGAGAAATACTTCTGACATCTCAAATTTCAGAGAGCCTCAGGAAGACGTCCCTCTTCTGGACATCAAAGTCTTTTTTTTTTTTCCTGGACATTGATTTGTTAAACAAGAGAAGTCAGTACTCCTTTGTGGCAACCAAAATACCTATTAATTTAAGTTTCCCAAGCAAAAAGTAATCTAACTCAAAATAATACCATCTTGTTGGAATTCAAATTCCAAAACAAAGAAAGAATACTAAAAATCTCTTTTGTTTTTAGGATCCCTCCTTTTTTCATGAAAGTACCAGCAGTGGAGATTGGCTTATCTTTCCTCTTGGTTTGAGTCACCAAAGAGTTTTGTGTTATTTTACTTAATTTTTAGCTTCAAAGAATGTTCAGTGCAGATGTCTCCAACGGTCATTTGATGTTTGTTTGTTCTTTTGAATATATTCAGGGCACTTCTAGCTAGGACAAAGGAAATAAGACAGATAAGGTCCTTGACTTGCTGGAGTTCATGGAATTGATAAAGTTTATAATCTAGAAGCAGATAATAAACAAGGGAAGAAATAAGAGGATCTTAGATAACAATAAATCATGCTAATAATTAATACAAAGCCATGGGATAGAAGGTTCCGGGGTGTGGGAGAGCTACTTTTACCTGCGGTGCTCTGAGAACTCTGCTTGGAAGGGGTGGCTTTCAAGCTGAGACCAGGGTAGGAGAAACCAGCCATGACCCCCCAGGGAACATCTGTTCCAGGCAGTGAGGGTAGCAAGTAAAGTGACTTGCCAAGTAGAACCTCTGATCACACAAAGCAGCTCTCAGGGAAGACAGGTGTACCCACGTCTCACTTCTGGGAAGTACCTGGCTGCTCTGCGACCTCAGACCCTCGTATTCCGAATCTAGTACCTTTTCCACTCTGTCACATTGCCATGGTCATATTGCCTTATCTAAAAAATATATACGTAATTACAACCACAAATACTTATTGGGATAGCCCAAAACCCACATAAGCCCATCTACTTGAAAGAAATCTTGGTCCAAATCTCTCTTGCAAAAGAATTTCAAACAAATTATGTAGATACTCTACTCCAAAAGACGAGGAGCATAACTGCCATCATTATGTGTGGGCTGTGCATAGTGACTTTTTTCTAAGAATACAGTATGTAGAGAGCACCTTACAGTTAAGAGACCTGACAAATGCTACTTCCTCCATATAATCAATATCAACATCAATAGTCAAAAATCATGTCGATGGCATATACACTTGATATGAGTTGATGAAAATAGTACTTTCCTCCCCAAAACCCATAACCCTAGACTAATCATGAGAAAAACATCAGGCAAATTCCAGTAGAAGAGCCTACAACATACCGGATCAGTAGTACTCAAAACTGTCAAGGTCAGGGGTGCCTGCTCAGTCAGTTAAGCATCTGCCTTCGGCTCAGGTCATGATCCCAGGGTCCTGGGATCGAGCCCCAGATTGCATCAGGCTCCCTGCTCAGCGGGGAGTCTGTTTTCCTTCTCCCTCTGCCCCTCCCCCTCCATTCCTGCTCTGACTCTCACTTTCTCTCTCAAATAAATAAATAAAATCTTAAAAAAAAAAAAAACATTAAGGTCATCAAAAACAAGGAAAGTGTGAGAAAATGTCATAGCCAGAGGGAGCTTAAGGACACATGACAACTAATAAAATGTGGAATCCTGGATGTGATTCTGAAACAGAAAAAGGGTATCTAAAGAAATACAAATATGAACTTTACTTAATAAAAATATATCAATATTGGTTCATTAACTGTACCAAATGTGCCACACTAATGCAAGACTAATAATAACAGTAATAATTAGTAATAATAGGAGAAACTGTGGGGAGGGAGGGAAACAGTATACTGGAAGTCTCTGTACTATCTGATCAATTTTTCTGTATATCAAACTTTTAAAAAATCATGTATTAACTTAAAGAATCTCAGTCAAAACAAAATTAGAAGGAAAGATGCCCCTAGTTAAATTTCACCACTGTTGTAGTGACATCTCCTTCCTAGTGACACATGAAAAATAAGATGTAGCCATCTTGCAAACTAGCAGGAAAAAGAAATGCTCATAAAGAAGGTCAAACTGATAAATCCCATTTTTAGAGAAATTGCAAACATCCTCAGTCTTGGGCCTAAACTTACCTTCTCAGTTCTGTGGTAGATTTTGATACTTTCTAAAAACGTGCATTACTCATAAAAGCAGAGGGTATATGGGTTCCTTTTAATACCCAACTCTGCAATATAACATATAATATGGTCTATCAGCTAACCTTCAATAAAAACATCAACTATTTATAGAATGGTCCCAGTCTCTCAAGCTGTTCTCAAAGAGGTCAATTTCCTCTAGATGCTACTAAGACTTCTCTCAATGAGCATTCCTTGACTTATATAACATAGGCATAATATGGAAAATGCTGTTTTTAAATAGAGAGAGGATAGATGATAGATTAGATAGATGAAACATAAGTGATATCCAACAACTTGAAATCGGGCATGGCCATGATTTCTTGCCATTATGTCACACACAGAAAAAGGCTAAAAAAGCCTGGATATTAATTTTTTTTATCAAATATCAATCTCAAAATAAAAAAAAGGAGGGGGAAGCCCCTGTTCATATCCTGATGAAATTTTATATGAATGTATTGTCAATACATGACCTTTCTAAAACCAAGTTTTAAATTCAACCAGAATAAAAGTGCTCATCTTCCGACCCTAGACAGAAGTTAATCCTACAGTGATCAACAAAATGTTTCTGCCTTTTATTTCCTTATCTTTTTCTGCATAATAACTGATACTATTATTTTTCATGAACCTTATCCATTCCCCTTTTCAGTTGTTACTGGGTTTCATGGGTTAGGATATAGTTAACGTTTGTGCTGAAATTCAAAATGAAACAATAAGAAGTGTTGTCACTCTACCTTGCCAGATCCAGAACTTGTTGCATCTGCTTAAGAAATGTAACTGAGTTTGTTTCTCAGAGTCAAAAACTAATGATGTATTGTATAGTGACTAACATAACATAATAAAATAAAATTTAAGAAAATTAAAAATTTTAAAAATGTTAAAGAAATGTAACTGAGTGATTGGACAAACGTTATGACCCACAGGATTCAATTTTCAAATAGTAGGACCACAGGACCATGGTGCTGAAGGTCTTGAACATCATCTAATTCAACCCTGTCACAATGAAGAAAGTGAGCCCTAACAAGTGAAAACTTGGTGATTATAGTTAATTTGTGGCAGGATCCAAACTAGAATACAGATCATTCATTCATTCATTCAAACCTCCTTATGTTCAACACATGTTTAATAAGTATCTTCTGGGGGTAAGAAGTGACACTGAGCACATATAAGCTAAGACAGGCATAACTGCTGACCTCATGGAGTTTATAGTCTATCAGGAGAGGTAGATTTTAATCAATCACACAAGCAATTATAAAAGCATAACTGTAATGGATGCTATAAAAAAAAAAGATAAACTCCTGCAGTGAGAGCTTATTTAGAGGATTATGAGCAAATCAAGGAAGGTTCCACTGGGAGAGTCACATTTGAAAGATCAGTAGGCACTAATGAGGCAAAGAGGGGAGAAAAGAGTTCTCAGACCAAGGGAACAGCAAGTGTGAAGTCTCTGTGAAAAGAGAACACAGGAAGTAGAGACTATGAAAAGCAGCGGGTGTGGCCTGGGCCTCGAAAATGAGTGGGAGCATTTTCCAAATCTGAAAATGCTTAGGTAAGTGGAAATTGGATTATGCAGAGCCTTGTATGTCAGGATAAAGAGTTTTGTCTTTGTCTTAAATACAATGAGGAGTTATTGAAAGGTTTCAAGAGATTTGGAGGTGGTTGGTGAAGGACAAGCCCATTTGCGCTATGCCAAGATGATTCTAATTGCAGTAGGGAGAATGGAGAAGAGACCAGGGAGGATGGGGTCACCCAGCGGGGAGACTTTGCCAGCCTGGTGCTCCATTACACTACATACGTGCATACGTGTCAGAAGCTGTCCACCAGAATCCACTCTCCCAGAATGGTAGGTCTCCATTTCCCAGGTCACGTGGCAGTCGGATGTGACCATGTAACTAAGCTGCAGCCAGTGAAATGTGAATAGAAGTGAAGTGGGCTTCTTGGAGGGTGTTGCTCAAGACCAAACAATACCTCTCCTTGTTCTCTCTTCCGCCTTTCTGCTGGATGGCTATGAGGACAGTGACATTTTGAAGGTAATAGAGCAACTGTCTGCCTAGGTTCCTAAATGCCCCCACCGCAGGAGACACTTCCCAACCTAGATCATGTGTCCAGACTGTCTTATGAGGCAGAAATGAGCTACCACTTCTTAGGATGACTTCATTCTGGGGTCTATCTGTTACAGCAATTTAGCGTGCCCTAATTAACTCAGTGAATATGTCTGTCTGTGTTTGCGCCGATGTACTGTGTCTCATATGGGTCAATGTCTATAAACTGGGAAAACAACTAGCAAATTCATTAGCTAGGGACCTGCTTTAGTTTTATTACATAAGGTAATTACTTCTCAGTTTATATAAGCCCACGGCCCCTCCTAGACTGACATTCTATGAAATAATTGACTGAGCCTTACAAGTGTGATGAATTGCACACTCAGGAATTTCCCATGAGAGGACACACCTTAAATAGTTTCTAGTTTAAGCAAGGCCAGTAAATTTTTAAATATCTATGGTTAGTTAGGGATTATTCTACTATAATAAGAAAAGTATAAATAAGACTCTAAATTATTAATTTGCTAATAGTTTTTCCTTTCAGCCAAGGTTATTTCCTGAGCTGAAATACTCTTTAATTCGCTAAAAGTTATTTAGTAGGGTGCCTGGGTGGCTCAGTTGGTTAAGCGACTGCCTTCGGCTCAGGTCAAGATCCTGGAGTCCTGAGATCAAGTCCCACATCGTGGTCTCTGCTCAGCAGGGAGTCTGCTTCTCCCTCTGCCCTTCCCCCCTCTCATGCTCTCTCTCTCATTCTCTCGCTTAAATAAATAAATAAATAAATAAATAAATAAATAAATAAAAATTATTTACTAAATACTTCTACAGGAACCTCACTAAGGCCCACATTAGAGCAAATATTGATATGTTGGATGCTATCAATATTAACTATATTTATTCCTAAAAACCAATCTGTGTTTCTGAAGTATTATTCTGGTTTGGATAGTCTACAAGTTAAAATAAAAGACACGCTCAGATCATAGACAGAGTTTGGAATAGAAAATTTGAGATTCTGTCAGAAAAAAAAGAATGGCTGTTGGGTGGGAAACTCCATGTCTACTCCATCTCCACAACACCTCACACTTCAGGATGTCCTACCATGCTCGGCATTTTCCAATTCCAAATTTAGAGAGACAGAGAGAGAGAGAGATTTTTTTCCTCCTTTTCCAGGATTATGCTACTGGTGCTGATTATTATCTCTGGGTGGGTGTGGTTTTTAAAATGTTTGCCATAGAAGAAGCTAAATGCATTCCAACATGTCTATTAAAAATAGGTAGAAATTGTTGAAACCAAACCTTTTCAGCTCTTAAGGTGCTGGATTCATATTGAATTATTATTACCATTTCCTTTCCGCTGAAATTTTGATGACATGGTCATCATTCATTCAACCAAGTGTGGCCATTTCAGATTCAGTTAAGTGTCTTTATTCAAGGTGTCCTCATAGTCTCCTTTATTTGTTAGAACTATTTCAAAATGAATAGCCAGATGAATCACCAGAGCATTGCAAAGCAAAACTCATGTGTCAGGACTGAACTGAGGAAACAGAACAAACAAAAAGATGAGGCAATTATAGACTTGGGAAATTGTTTATGATATAATATTGAATAAAAAAGGAAAAATCTATCATTTAATATGAAATGCGTGTTGTGGAGAAAATCTGATAGGCAAAGAAAAAGCATTCAAAAAAATGGGGGTTATCTTGTGGCGGTAAGATTACAGGCGATTCTTAAATTTTTTGCTATAGTTTCCATTCATTTTATATTAACTATTTTTTAACTAGTAAGAAATAAGCACTGCTTCTAATAGGTTTAAGCTATCCCCTAGCCTGCACTGTTATTGCCCTTTTGCCGGCTTCTGGGCCAACCCCCTGGAAGAGGGGCAGAGTTGGGGCAGGCATGGAGTCTCTCTACAGCAACCATTAGAAGGCAGCAGGTACCATTTGGACCAGGGCAAGCACAGAGAGCTGCCCCAAATTGCTACTGTTCTAAAAATGCTCCCAGGCTTAACATTAGCAAGCCTATGACAGTGGGTAAGTGGACACATTGACTATGTAGTAGTCAGATAACTTCTAGAGCTGGATTCCATGGAGCATTCTGTCGGAAGGAACTGCCTAAAGGCGGGCATGTTGCATAACCCCACTGTGCCTCTGGTTTATTGTTTATAAAATGCCTGACAATAGGTAAAAGGAGGTGACATTGAAAAGCCTTTTCCTAAAACTCCCTGATTTTAAAAAACTAGGAACACAGCATGTTAAAGAATGTCTCATTTTGGCTTAAAATTGAAAGACCAGATGTATTCCCATTTAAGCCAAGAACGAGACAAGGGTAGTAAGCAATGAAGTAATCATATGAAGACCTGTCTAATATCTGTCTCCCAGTCCAGGCTATAGCTCTAGGAGGGCAGGGACCGTGCTCTTTCTCCAACATCTAGCACCGTGCCTAGCAGAGTAGGTATTTCATGAATATTTTGAGGAGGGAGAGCAGAAAGCAAGCAGACACACTGGCTGGCTGGCTGGCTGTTTTCACCACCGGTATTGAGCTTTTCCTACCACTACAATAAGACAACATACGGAAATTAAAAGTATAATTAACACAAAGCTAAAATTATTATTGTTTTTAGATCATATGCTTATCTACTGAAAACCCATGAGAAAAACTATTCTAAAAAATAAGAAATCGGCTTAAAATGAATATTAAAAATAGATTTTCTATAAATTAGTAAGGATTCCAAAATACAATGGAAAAAATCTCTTATAGCAGTAACACACATACCAAGTACTTCAGGTAAAAGTAGGAAATGTAAAGGACCTGGCTGAAGAAAAATATAAGACTCTCCTACAGGGCGTTTTGCTAGATGCAATGTTTAAATATAGTAGAGATGTCTTTTTAAGTGTAATTTCACTGAAAATCTCAGGGTCTGTAATTGCGAATGCTAGTCTGCGATCAACATGAATGCTGAAAGAATAAAAAAGGGCGAAGGCTTTCCAATTTAAAAACGTGACAAAGCTAAAATATTTTTAAGTATGATGTTAGTGGAAAAAATAGCCATCAAATTAATAATTTTTTTTACAGTGAAATTTCCCTGGGTGGCCGAGTCTATGAATTTAGAGTCACTCAGTCCTGAGATCCATTCTTAAATCTGCCCCCTGCAGATAAAAGCAGTGTCAGCTGCCTCAGCCTCAGCTCACTCATCTCTAAAATGGGGATAAAAAGAACTCTATTTTCACAGGCCAATGGGAAAATAAAGAAATCTATAAGAAATGATGATGAGACAATAAATTGAGGGACAATGTTTATTTGTTACATATTCATATTCTGTATATTACATCTTACAGAGTATATCAACAGGTTAAAGCATTAAATGCAAGTGCAAATGTTAAAACTACAGAATAGCTAAAAAAAAGTATAAGTGATTCTTTTCCTAATCTTGTGATGGGGAAGGCTTTAACAAATAAAAGCAATGAAACAATGTCACAAAGAACAGGCAAAAAGGATCATTTTAACTACAGAAAAATTTTGAAATGCTCCGTGTAAAAGAAAATTCACTGTAAGTAAAAAGAAAAAGAAAAGAAATAAAAAGAAAAAATAAATAAAAGTACTTTCAGCAAGACAAATGACAGATACGGAGTTAACAACTTTAATATATTAACAGCTCTTTAAAATCAATACAAAGAGGGCGCCTGGGTGGCTCAGTTGGTTAAGCAACTGCCTTCGGCTCAGGTCATGATCCTGGAGTCCCGGGATCGAGTCTCGCATCAGGCTCCCTGCTCAGCAGGGAGTCTGCTTCTCCCTCTCCCGCTCCCCCCTCTTGTGCTCTCTCTCTCTCTCTCA